ATAAATAATATCATTATAAAAAAACAACAACAACCAGGAGAAAGCGTACAGCAACTTGTAAATTCAGCAGTGTTTTACTTTCAGAGACAATGGGGACAACTTTAAACTTTTATCATCACTAATGTTAATAATCTGCCTCTGTAGCAAAATTCTTTCATCTGCCCTCAAAGATTTTGTCAATATAAGCTCTACATATGAAGTTAGCTAAAGTGGGGAGAWAAAGTATTTAGTCAGCACCAATAGTTCAAGTTCTCCCACCTAAAATGATGAGAGAGGCCTGTAATTGATATCATAGTTAGACCTCAACTATGAGATACTAAATATTTATCCCCCACTGTACATGTCTACAGGATACTCCATCTTTTAGAAAACATTTTTTATCTGGTCTTGGTCTTGTCTCGGTCTCGCCCTCCTTTGTTCTTGGTCTGGACTTGGTCCAAACCCTAAAATCTTGGTCTTGTCTCGGTCTCGAGACACTGCGGTCTTGGTCTTGACTTGGTCTCGGGTTAGGTGGTCTTGATTACAACACTATCTGTTAAATTACAGAAGGGARACTTCACCAAAGTGAAACGTAAATCCGTGGATCTGTGTTTGATTACTCTGGCTGGCCTTCTCAAGGACCAGGATGTGTGACACAAAAATCTGAATTTTGGAACAGAAATTGAATTATAGAGCTRAAAGTGAAAGTAGACAAACTGAATTTACAATAAACCAAAAAAATTTTCAAAGCATTCATGTAATTAAAGTTACATCAGTCATTATCAGCTGTGGGAAGAAAGGGTTTTGTTTTGTTTCAATAAAACGCATTGTGTCTATATGTAATAAAGTTTTGATGTTTCCTTTGTTATTAGACAATTACTTTATGTCTCTTCAGACATATGTTTCTTTCTACTTCTATCTTCGTCAGAGGTGTCACAGCTTTTGTTCCCAGTATGTTGTTCAGGTATGTCTGAAGWGACATAAAGTCATCGAGTGTGTAATAACAAAGGAAACCTCAAGAGTTTTGTATTATTATGTCTGTTAATCCACGTTTAGACAATTAGGCCGGGAGACAGTAGTAGCTCTTATAACACACTTTTATTAACAGTTCCCTTCAGCCCAGGTCCGCCCTTCTAATCCATCCAACCCCTGGACATRCACCAACACATTTGTTCCTATTCACATCTCACATTACGTCTCCCCCTTTTAGCTTAGTGTCCATATTATTTAYCATTGCTGCATTATAAATGTATTGAACACATGAACATTCAAATGTTTTTACAAAGTGAAATATACCAAACACATAAACATTCAAATGCTTTTACAAAGTGAAAATAC